CAGTCATTTCACATTCACTTTAACCTCTGTCTTTGCAATTCACAACAGCATTATGTTGCATTTTAAGTAATCTTATTGATATCTCCTGATTTGATAACCAGCTTCCCCCCCACCCACCCCCCCGCGATTTACTGTTTAAAATGCTTTCAGTTCCTCAGGGAACTGTGAGGAGGGAGTGACCCAATAGATTTGAAAGTCACAGCCAAATTGTAACCAGAGAACACACTGGTGTATCCTTGTACTCCACCTAAAGCTTAACCATATCCAAGATTTTTTGACAATGAGGTTTTGAGGAGAAATCTGTCTTGAACTGTCCAATAATGATGGGGAACACATCCAAATCTGCAGCAGCATACACTGACAACAAAATATCAGGGTCTAGAACAAAACAGCAAGGAAGGCCTTGGCAAAGGGGACATAGCTACATAAGATGACCTGCAGAACATTACGACAGTCTTGGTTCATCCTCCCACACTTTGACAACACTTCTCCTATGCACTCATTAATTTTCCTAAGAATTAAATGCTCATTATTATTAGATTTGATTAATATACTACACAAGGTAAACTGCTATCCATTGAAAGCCAGGGATTCATGCCCAACCCAGGAATAGGCAAGACAGAAATACTCAATTCAAAACTGAAACACAGCCTCTCTTGCTCAAGCAGAGGCTCTGCTAATTCTGTGCTCGCTCAACTAACAGGTAAGGAGGCAGAAGTAATTACATAACACCAGGGGACGTTGTCTGCGAGCTGCTGTCTGTCTGTGTTTTCCCAGCATGATGCCCACTTATGCAGGGGGGGGGGAATGCCAGCTGTTGTCTCTTGGAGAAAGAATGGTTACCAGGGTCTCTCTAATGCTCCCGACTGTTCAGCAGAGGCTTTCACGAGGGATTCAAAGTACAAACACAAACAAACAAACCACTAAAGCAGGCTGAGCTCTCTATTTGGCAGATGGCATGTTGGGTATTTCCAGACAAGGTTTTGACTGGAACTGCTAGGACCTGTCCAACTGGGAATACACATCATCTGTCCACATCTCATAACAGCAGCAGACAAGCATAGTAGTCTCGTGGGCTTTCAGAAGGCTATGCAGGCAATGACGACAGCTAGAAACATCCTTTTATATAGGAATAGAGCTAAAAAAAGTAATTTCCAAGTTTTGCATGGAAGTCAAGACTGGACAATTTAATGTCTGATTAGTACCGCTGCCTTTAAGGACAGGGTTGACATAATTTTAAGTAAATAAATGGCCTTTCTTGTGGGTTTTCACTCAATCTTTCTGCAGATTTTTATTGAGAATTTTCTTTTTAATTCACATTTTATTATTGAATGTTTACTGCATTTCGATAGATATCTAGCCCTCTACAAGCGGTCGTATAGATCAGATGGGTGGGGTACAAATCAAATCAAATCAAATCAATCAATAAATAGGACTGGGAAACACATAACCGGCCACTTCTGGCAGACTACAATTTCTCAACTTGAGCTTTCCTCAATCTGATGTATTTGACAGCTAGTATGGGTAGTGTTGCTTAACTGGAGGGCACCATATTGGAGAAAACTGCTCTTGGTATTCTACTATACTAAAAGAAGTCAGTCTTGCTTACTGGCTAAACTATCACATTCTCTTCTCCCCCAGTTTCCCCAAACACTCTGGAATTTATAGTTTCTCGTTGCTGTGGCAAAAGTTGCTTGATGCCTTTTTAACCACAGTCACAGAACAACAAAACATAAGGGATCCTGATTCGCAGGACTTCTTTGGAGCCTTGCCAGTTAAACAGGTCTGAAACAGTCTAGAAATCTGTAGTTGTGAACCCTAGGCTCCAAATCTGGCACTTTGTCCTTTAGCAGCAACTAATATGATTGTCCTCTTAACATCAGCAATTTCAAGGATCACATCCAGTAGCATAAAGGTCTTCACCACCACTGGTCAAGGAGAAAAGAGGGAAATGTTTATGTATCATGTTTTTTTGCTGGAAGGTGACCAAAAAGATCTAAAGCAACTAAAGAAAATCACTATTTTGGTGCTCTGTTAGCAAAACTGCCTGACAGAAAGCAAGCTGAATTTACAAAGTACAGTTAATGTCATGGGAAAGCATTGACTTGGATGAGAAAAGCAAACCCAGCACTTCAGAACTACACCTTGAAGTAGCTTGTTTTGCTTACAGTCTTACTCTGGAGACATCCCACACCAGCAGATGTCTACTTGGTTATGTTTGTTACAGTGAAATCAGACAGCCTAATGTGAAATATTAATGGATGAAGATAAATCACTGGCTGCTCTCCAATCAAAAACACCCCTCACACATTGTAGGGGATGGAAGCAGGGTTGCATCAACTCTCACAGTGGATATGTATTCAATAAGCATGATAACAAGTTGTATATATGTACAGAGTTCATGCGTAGAGCTTTTCTGTGTAAGGGAAGATTTTGGAACAATGTACTTTGTGTGGAGGAACCCTTGTGCATCCATATCAGCATGTAGGTAGGGCAGGGCAGACCATCAGGCAGAACAGGGCAGGATGTTATAAAAATGCAGCAAATTGTTAGTTATTTTATATATTGTTACCAAGAGTGAACAATGATTTGTTCTTGTTGTTGTTACAATCTGGCCACAGCACATCTGATTCCGCAGAGAGAAGACAACTCCTCTTGTTCTTCTATTTCACACAGCAAAATATCTTGGGTCAGTCTTGCCATAAGCTTCCTTCTCAAGCTTGTTGGGCTCACTACCAGGAGCACTGATCACTGAGCAAACCTACAAGCTGCATAATGCCTTCACACATTATTTTTATGCCTTAGAGCAGGGGTTTCCAAACTTTGGCCCGTGGGCCACATCTGGCCCACCTTGCCTTTTTATCCAGCCTGAGCGGGCAGGCGGGAGTGCATTTGGGAGTGGGTGCGAGTGGGCGGGAGTGTGTGCGTACACACATATGCAGATGCAAACACATGCACATTCATTCGGCCCTTGAAAATATGGAAAATATCTTATGTGGCCCTCATGGTGAAAAGTTTGGAGACCCCTGCCTTAGAGGGCTCATGATCTGTCTTTGGAATCTCCCAGCTGAAGCAAAAACGCAACCTCTGTCCTGTCCCCATAAGGCCAATCCAAGGCACAGAAATAAGATGGGCCTCGTTTTCTCTACTGTCTTAAACCCATGTCACACTTAAAAGACACACACATGTACAAACATTCCACGCTTCAACTTCATGACTGTATAGGCCAAAAAAAGGGTGGGGTGGGGTGGGGAAAGAAAATTGATTAAAATTCTAAAAACACAGGTTTTAGTTAATGCTTAGGCAAACCATGTCCGTATTCCCTTTCGCCCCCATATGTCTGATGAAGTGCACTTGTCCAAGAAAGCTCACATTAAAATATACTCTTTTAAGGTGCCACGTGCTTTTATCTTTTTTATTTTGCTTTGTTTCTTTGGATTTTGCCTGACATGTATGCCTTGTATGTTACGCACA